GCTCCGTCCTCAGCAGCGCCGCCACGCTGTCCAGCACCACCAGCCGCACGCCCCTCAGCGGCACCTGCTCCTCAAGCGCCCCCAGCGTCACCCTCAGCGCCTCAAGGCTGCCTGGCTTCACTATAAGCACCCTGTCGAGGGCGCTCATCGCCAGCTCATCAAGCAGCTGCTGCCCCTCCGCCTTCGGGCTGCCGCCGCCGCCGCCGCCACTGCCGGGGCCGTCCTGCTGCTGCTGCGCCGCCTGCTGCTGCTGTTGCTGCTGCTGGAAATCGGCCAGCTGCGGCGCAAACGCGCTGGCGCGTGCGAGGGCAATCTCCTGCATTCGAGGCACGCTGAGCTTGCCTTCCGTGTCTGGCAAGGGGGGGAGCGGAGGCGCGGTGGCGGCTTGGCGCACGTACCGTCAAACTTGCAGGGCTGGAGGCAAGGGGCCCCTCCAATTCCCCATGACGCATTGCTGTCAGCTAGTTATCCCAACCTCTGAGACCCATAGAGTCGCCTAGACCCCCCCTGCATGCCCCTGCCCTGCTCACCTATGTACATGACCGTGGCGGCCAGCCCCCCCAACTCCCGCGGCAGCGCGGCGCTGAGCGCCAGGCCCATCGCCATCTGGCTCTTGCCCACGCCCGCGGGGCCGACGAGCTCTGTGATGGCGCCAGCGGGCACGCCCACGCGCAGCGCCGCGTCCAGGCCCTGGAGGCAGGGGAGGCGTGGGGCAGTCGCATGCACTGTGTGTAGTAGGTCAAATGCTGGTCGCGTTCGCAGCCAGCGCAGGACGCAGCAGTGGCCCGACTGCGGCAATGAACGAGGGCTTCGGCAGGTTGGCAAGGGGGCGGCCGGGCCCGCCCCAAACGCCCGCCCGCCCACCGGCAGGAAGGTGCGCAGCTGGGTGGCGCTGTCCGCCAGTGACAGGCCATACAGCTGGGACGCCTGAGGGCGCGTGGGTGGCGCAGGGAGGCAGACAGTTGCTTATTTCGGTGCACGGGCGGGCGTCCTGGGTCGCGCTGGAGGATTTCACACATGGAGCGCCTGGGTGGCCCATCGCAGGGGCATGGGTGGTGCATTAAGGCGCGTGGCTCTGCAAGTGAGTGTACCGCTCCCACCGTGATGTAACCAGGTGCCGCCTGCGCCGCCACGTCCAGGAGCAGCTGCTGCGCGGCGCCGTATGAGATGTCGAGGATTTCGCACAGGTCTGTCGCGGTGTGGTGCAGGCAGTCGCGCGCGGTGCGGAGGCCGCGGGCGAGCAGCTGTGTCCGGAGCTCCGGCGGCAGCGGCAGCTCCTGGACGGACGCCTGCGGCGCGGGTAGGGGGTGTGTTGGGGTTGGGAGGGAGGGCGGCCAAGGCTGGCTGTGTCAACAGCGGTCGCGTCATTGCAGGGTGACGCTTGCGCTCCTGCTGCCCGGCGGCGTGCCTGTTGCAGGCTGTCCAGCGGAGCATGTCCTGTGCCCCGCCCAGTCGACAACATGCGCACCATGCTTGCAGCTTCGATTTTCTGCTGCAAAGCCGACGAGCAAAGTGTGCGCCACGATCACTTGCCGCTTTCACGACCGCCGGCGCCTGCTTGCGTTGGTGGCAAGCAAGTGAGCAGGCCTGTGCAAGTGTGTCGATGCCCGAGCAAGAATGAAATTGCGAGACTTGTACCGAGGCTGCCTTGCCAAGGTGATGAGGGGGAGGTGACCAGCAGCTGAGCAGAACCTGCCGCGCTCTGCGTTAGGACGACATACAGGGACTGCCCGCGCGGTATCGCCCCTCTCGATGCGTAAAGTGGACGATTTGGTCCAGTCCTTAGCATCGGGCTTTCAGCGTCGTGATCTTGAGCCTTTGATCGAGGGATCGTTCCGTCGAGGCCCTGAGGGCCATCCGTGAGGCGTAGGAAGGTCTCAAAGGAGCGGGCAGGATGGCGGCCCAAGCACCTATCGTGGTGCAGGAGCGCCTTAGCGTGAGTGGGTGGTTGAATGATCTCAGGGGCAGTGGGGCCACAGCTAGACCTTAAACGGCATCCTTATGAAGACGAGTCCGTACCGGACAGCTGGCAGGGGCGATTCATGATCCTGCTTGACCACACGCGATCGGGAGGGCCTGTGGAACGACGAACACATGGCTCGGCTGCAGGGTCAAGGATGTCCTGCCATGTATCGGGTGCTGATGTTGATCGGGAGCCATGCTCCCATCAGCGCGGTAGCAGTGCGCGCGCGCTGCCCTTGGAATTCGAGAGGGGAGGCAGCGGCGCGCGCCCACCTGCCGCAAGCAGCTACCGGTGCCTACCACCACCCCACACCCGCCCCCCGCCGCGCCGCCGGCGCCGCCCGCGCGCCCGCTGCCGCCACCCCGTGCAGCTCCCCTCCATCGGGGTGGGCCAGGAGTTCATCAACTTCAAGTCCATCACCATGGAGTCAGACAAGTACATCTGCGTGCGCGAGGCGGGCGCGCAAAACCAGGTCGTCATCGTCGACATGGCGTCCCCCATGACCCCCGCGCGGCGCCAGATCACCGCGGACTCCGCGATCATGTGCCCCGACAAGAAGGTAATCGCGCTCAAGGCCACCACGCCCGGCGTGGCGGGCGACGCGCTGCAGTGCTTCAACCTGGACACCAAGACAAAGCTCAAGGCCTACCAGATGCCCGAGAGCGTGGAGTTCTGGAAGTGGACCAGCCCCACGCAGCTGGGGCTGGTCACCACCACCAGCGTCTACCACTGGGACATCACGGTGAGCAGCGGCATGGGGGTGTCGCACGTCGCTGTTAGTCCCATTCTTTCCAGGGACGTGCTTTGTGTGAGGATGACGGCTGCATGACGGCCGGCACAATTGGCTGCAGCCTGCTCGCGCTGCCACTGTCTCATTTCTGAAACGGCGGTCGCGGGCATATTGTCAGAGGAGAGGCGAGCTAAGGCAGGCAAGATTAGGTGCAGCGGCGCACATCGCGCAGCCGTCGCAGCCAGGTGCATCGACAGTCTTTGGCAGCCTGCGGTGAGGGTGGTTGAGGCCAGCAGCGGCACAGGCAAGCAGGACTGATCGTCGTGCAGCAACAATGTGGATTAGAGGGCAGCTGCAACACATGGTTGCAGCAGTGCTGGCGGTGGCTGCGGGCTTCCGCTGTGGTAGCGGCTGACCCCACGCCGAGCATGCTGGTGGTGGAGCAGCAGCGACTAGCGGCGGCAGTGGTGGCGTGCGCTCGCGGGTCTGAGGACAGGAACGGTGTTGGTTGCAGCAGCCGCAGCAGCACAGCACGTTTGCACAGGAGCACCACTGCACCAGGAAGTGCGATGTCAGCAGCAGTCACGGCGGCAATAGCATGTCAGCGCGTCGTCGCAGTTGGCAACAGCAGCCGGCTCACTTCAGCGGCAGCAGCAGCAGCAGCAGCAGCAGCAGCAGCAGCAGCAGCAGCCGCAGCAGCAGCAGCAGCAGTGGGCTGTGGGCTGGCTGGCAGCAAGGTCCAGTGTTGTCAATCGCGACTGCTTGCTTGACCCTTGTGCAACGCTCACCCTGGAACCTTCCCAGACTGCGGTGGACGCCCCGCCGGTCAAGGTGTTTGACCGCACCCCGAACCTGGCGGGCGCCCAGATCATCAGCTACCGCGTCAGCGCCGACGGCAAGTGGTGTGTGCTGATCGGCATCACCCCGGGCCTGCCTGAGAGGTACGCAGATCTGTTGAATGTTGGGGCCGGGCGGGGGGCAGCGGAGATACAGCAGCGGAGCCCATGTGTGGCGTCGTAAACCATGCACGTGGTGCAGCATTATGTTGCAGATTGATGGGTTGCGGATGCACAGCTGCAGTGGCGATATTCACCTGCGTCGCTTGGCCTCTGGAGGCTGTCGACGCTGCTGTGCGGCATCAGCCTTCTCGTTGCACAACGAGCAGCCTGCTGTGCAGCACCAGCAACTCAAAAGCACCCCACGCATCCCGGTGTGGGCGCCCCCAGGCCGGCGCTGGCACGCGGCGTGATGCAGCTGTACTCTGTGGAGCAGGCCAAGAGCCAGCCCCTGGAGGCGCATGCGGCGGCGTTCTCGAGCGTGAAGTTCACGGGGCGCGACCTGCCCAGCAACGTGATCAGCTTTGCCCAGAAGACGCTGAAGGACGGGCAGGTCCTGTCCAAGCTCCACGTCATTGAGCTGGGCAACGCGCCAGGTGCGTGCGCGCGATACGCACAGCACGGGGCTTGGGGCGCGGGCCGCAGCCGGTGCCAGGGGCGGCGGCGTCGTGGGCGCGAGCCTGATGCCGCTGGTTTTGCAACGGCGGTTCAAACGAAAGAGGCAGCTTGCCGAGCTTTCGAGTCAAATAGTTGGAATGGAGGGGCAGGTATGCCCGTCCTCAATCGCAGTGCTTAGCCCGCGCTCCTCATTCTCACGTCACGCCCACTTCACTCGCCACCCCCAGGCGGCGCCGTGAAGCGCAACGCGGAGCTGTTCTTCCCGGCCGAGTTCGCAGACGACTTCCCAGTCAGCCTCCAGATCAGCGAGCGCTTCGGCCTGGTGTACGTGGTCACCAAGCTGGGCCTGCTGTTTGTGTACGACCTGGAGACCGCCACGGCGGTGTACCGCAACCGCATCAGCCCCGACCCCATCTTCCTCGCGTCGGCCTCGGACACGACCGGCGGCATTTTTGCCGTCAACAGGTGCGGGCGCGCGACGGAGCCAGGCCAGGCTACGACGGTTGGTTGGGTGCGGCTGCGGCTCGCGCGCACAGGAGGGGCGGCAGGAGAAGCCGGTGATGCATCGAGGCGTGCACCCGGTTGCCGCATGATATTGTGATCAGGCAAATGGGGGCGCGGCTGACGCTGAAAGTCACCTTCACGCGCGGCTTCGCGGTTGGTCTCTGCAGGCGTGGGCAGGTGCTGCTGGCGACTGTGAACGAGGCGACCATGGTGCCGTTTGTGTCGCAGCAGCTGAACAACCTGGACCTCGCGCTCGCCATGGCGCGGCGCGGCAACCTGCCGGGCGCGGAGGGTCTGGTGGCGCAGCAGTTTGAGCGGCAGTTCAGCGTAGGGCAGTACAAGGAGGCGGCGGAGGTTGCGGCGGAGTCGCCGCAGGGCATCCTGCGCACCAAGGAGGTGCGGGGGCGACAAAAGGGGCCGCTGGTTCGCGCGGTGGCGAGCGGCGGACGCAGTGGCAGAAGGGCCGATGCAGCAGTGGGGCGTCTAACGCTGCAGTTTGGTGGCCCAGTGGCGAGGGTCTGCATTCGGCTTTTTGTCAAAGCCTTCCTTTGCTGCTACGCAGCACGCACCTCTGTGCAAAGCGCAGTAATATACTGACGCATCACAGCATTCACCCATCAAGCCGCCACCGCTCATGCTCAATTAACCCTCCACCCCGGCCTGGCTTTTTGACCCACCTCCCCTCCTGTGCATCCCCTCCTCCAAGGTCGTGGAGCGGCTCAAGTCCGTTCCGCCCACCCCCGGGCAGAAGCCGCCCATCCTGGTGTACCTGGGGGTGCTGCTGCAGCGCGGCAAGCTCAACGCCCTGGAGAGCGCTGAGCTGGCCAGGTGGGGGGTGCGCGGGGGCGGCGGGGCGTGCTGCCCCCCTGGAGCCGGCTGGGGCAGGGCGGCACTAGCTAGACGGGCGTGGTCGGGCGGCTGGGAGCTGGCAATGTCTTGCCACCTGCCGCATCCGGCGCCTTGTGCAGGCCTAGCAGTTGCCGCGCATTCATCAATGGGGTGGTAGGGAGCACTGGAGGGTCATTTGGGTTGTTGAAAGACTGCTGCAAAATTCTGTTTGGCTCGCATCGAGTGTCTGCACGCCACAATGGTTTCTTCAGCCCAGCTGCCTGCAGCAGGCGCAAATGACAGTGCCCGTATGCTGCATAGTCCTGACAGCCACTGCAGCCCTGGCATGCCTAGTCACATTGGCCAAACATGGTGTCAGGACAACACCAAATCACATACAAGCGCACACACTCGCGCACACGCGTGCGCGCGTGCACACACACTTGCGCGCGTGCACACACACACGCGCGCACGCACGCACGCAACACCCCAACCTGGCCTTCATCACCCGTCTTCGTCCCTCTTGCGCACTCACCCCCCCCAGGCTGGTTCTGGCCCAGAACAAGCGTGAGCTGCTCACCAACTGGTGGAACGAGGGCAAGCTGGAGGCCAGCGAGGAGCTGGGGGACCTGGTGTCGGCCGCAGGGGACAAGGACATGGCGCTCAAGATATTCCAGCTCAGCGGGGCCAGCGGCAAGGTGGGGGGGCGCAATGGGGGTTGGAGAGGCATGGTCGTATTTCGTGGTTGCCAGGGGAGGTGGATGTTGCCCGGGTGGCCGAGGCGTGCGCGCGTCGTGTGCAGCTGGGGATGCGTCGCTGGAGAGGGTGCAGGGAAATGCGATGTGTGGTCAAAGTGCCGAAATGCAGCACTCGATTCGGATCATGAGGGAACTTGGCAAACCATCGTTAAAATTCTATGTCTCCGCCCCCTTGCCGCCCGCGTCGGCCCCTCCAGGTCATTGTGTCCCTGGCTGAGAAGGGCGACATGGGGGCACTGATGGCGTACACGGGCCAGAGCGGCACCAGCCTCAACTACATGCAGCTGCTGCAGCAGCTGATGATGAACAACCCCAACGGCGCAGTATCGCTCGCCAAGATGGTGGCCAAACAGGTGGGGGGGGGGGCGGGGGCGCTCGTCAGGGCAAGCGGATGGGAGTTTTGCAGTACGCTCCCCTGCATACATGATTTGTTTGAGGTTGCGTACATGTGCGAAGTGCGCAGGCTTGCGAAGCCAGACAGGCTGGGTCAAACATGCACAACGCTGTCAGGCATGGTGCCGGCCGCAGGGTCCTAATCTTCTGCATGCCAAGGCACGGCTCTCTCTGACTGCGCCGTCCACTCTCCTGCTGCTGATGGCTCACCACGTTCCCTCTGCCCCCCTTGCCCCCTCAGACGCCTCCCCCCGTGGGCTGCGAGACCAACACCATCGCGGACCTCTTCCTGCAGCGCAACATGGTGCGGGAGGCCACGGCCTTCCTGCTGGACGCACTGGCGGGTGAGGGGGCGGGAGGAGGCTGCTTCTGCGTGTGTGTGTGTGTGTGTGTGTGTGCGTGTGTGTGTGTGTGTTTGTGCAGGGCTCGGGTTGGGTTAGGTTGGGTTCACATTGTTAGCAACGGGTTGAGAGGCCAATATTAGGCTTGAGAAAGTGGCCGTCTGTTAAAATTGCAGGGTCATAAGGGGAGATGCGAGCGATTGTCTGGGTGTGATACGCCAAAGTTCAAGTGGTGACCCTTCAAGGGTTTCAGGGCAGGAGTAATAATCGCAAGATGCAGCTGTTGTGGCTGGGACAAGGGTGTTTCGAACACGAGCGGCTCACTTTGCTGTCTCAGCCCTTTGTGCAATGGCAGGGGGGTATCGAGAGGGAAAGGGGGAGGGAGCAGTCGACAGGGGGGCACAGGGATGCTGCCCGGGAGAACGGCGGACCTGCGCTGCCGCGGTGCAGGTTGGTAGTAGCCTCAGGCTCAACGACACCGCTGCGCGCAGGACCGCTGCTCGCCCCAACCCATGCGAACGCAGATCCAGTCACCGTTGCTGGCTCGCAGCACACTTCTCTTGTTCTTTATGGCACTGTGCATGTCCGCTGAAGCGCCGAACCCCCCTCGTCCACACACATACGAACAAGACCCGCAACCCCCATCTCCCCGCCCCTTACCCCCCAC